CTGCTCCCTGCACCTGGAGTTTGGTTTTTCTGGGAACTCAGGTATGCATGACAGTGCCTTAACTTCCCACCCTCACTCTGAGGAACCCCTAAACAGGGGTTTTTCACTCTTTTGGGTTTTTCATGGGCCCTTCTGCCAGTCTGGTGAAATCTATTAACCTCTTCTCAGAATAATGCTTTTAAGTGCATAAAATGAAATACCTAACAGTATAAATTAAGTCTTTCAAAATACAGTTATCGGGGCAGCTGAGTGGTGCAGTGGATAGAGCGCTGGCCCTGGAGTCAGGAGGACCTGAGCTCAAATCCACAAAACACTCACTAGCTATGTGACTCTGGGCAAGTCACTTAACCCCAATTGCCTCAGAAAAAAAAAATACAGTTATCAAAATATATGTTTTTTTTTAAATGCACAAGTTCATGGACTCCAGGTTAAGAACCCTTGCCTTAGAAGAACTGGCCTTCAGGTAGGTTATGGAGGATTAGAGGACACTTCAGGAGTGTCCAGAGGAAGACAGGGTCTCCTCATACCTGCCTAGGCAGATAAGCAGCTAGAGTCCCCTTTCGCAGAGAGGGCAGGTAATCCTTAGAGTATGCCCCTCTTTAAGACTAAATGACCCACTGGGGCACACTCTTATTGCATCAATAAAGGTAGTGTAGGCCAACTCCCCCTAGCCTCTCCATCAACTTTGATACCACATTCAAGGCTCTGTGTGTCATCTTGGGTTGAAGAATAAAAAGACACCAGGACTGAGACAGATCCTCATAGCCCCCCAAGACAGCAGACAATGCCACTATAGAATAACTGGCCCAAGCGACAGCTGTAACCTGCTTTACTCTCTCACAAAGGCTGCCACAATTGGACTCTGATCTGTCAATATTAGGAGCATGAAGGTTTTGTGGTTCCATCTGAGCTCCTTGGTAACTTAATCCATAAACTGGCCCTACCTAGGATTCATCTAACAGAAATACATGTGCCAGGTTGTGTGGGTTTTCCAATTTCCAGAAAGTAGATGGCACAGTGGATACAGCACAGAACTTCAAATCAGGAAGAGCTGAGTTCACAACCAGCCTGGGACCCTGGGTAAGTCCCTTGACTGTTGGTCTGCCTGTTTCATCTGTAAAGTGGGGATAATAAGAGTAACTAATTCCCAGGGGGGTTGTGAGGATAAAATAAGATATTTGTAAGGTATTTTGCAAACCTTAAAGCACTATATAAATGCTAGATATTAAAGCATTAGACACCAGGAAAGTAGATGGATTCAGCCCTTAGGTCATCCAGATGACCCTTATACTTTCTCAAATATGGTACCCAGACCTTTCCAGAGTCTAAGACCATTACCCACCTTACTTTGAATATTCTTCATCTCTTAGGTGATATCTTTTCTAAACTTCATATATTCACCATCAGACTATTCCAAAGAAATAGCTATTTTATTTTTTTTTACCAATTTTCAAATTAAAGCTATTAAGTGACACAAACTTTTCAAAACATTAGAAAATTAATCTTATCCCATTGACCAAGGAATGAACCTATTCTGAAACAGAGGATGCTTGTTATGTCTAAGTTATATGTAACCTAAAAAGGTAACAAGATAACATACACAAACTTTTTTTTTCCTGTTGCTCCATGTTTCAATGTCTTCCTGCTAAACATGTAGGAGAAATTCCATTCAATTGTCAAGAGAATAGATATTTTGCCCAGCAGACTTGGAATTCACCTAACATTGTTGGAAGAATTCTGTTTTTATGTAGCTGTTTCCTTTTGTACATCCAGATTGCTTAGAAATTGCTCAAGTCTCACACATACAAAAAGATGAATCAGATGGTTTGAAACTACTATTTTAATGAGCAAAATCTTTCCTGACGCTCCTGGAATTTCCTCTAGTTTGGGGTGTTTATTCAGCAGACAGTCCCTGTAAGTTGGCTGCTGAGATAGATAGTTAAATGTGTACACTCAGGTTCTCAGGTTCTAGAAAACATGCTGCTGTGAAAAGAAAATTTTCTCCCTTTAGAGGAGGGAAAAATCTTTGATCAACACAAAAGTTACACTCAAAATACTACTGGTGCTTTTAGACAAAACACCCAACTTCATATTTTTAAAGCTATGACAAATTAATAGCTCTTAATATAGTTAAGAGTGCACAAAAATATTTTAGATCAAATGGAAAATGATTTGGATGAACACTAATGATTTGAAATAACACTCCCTAAGAAAGAGCATAGTGGCTGGAAAGTTAGCCACGAGTCTGGAAGACCTGAGCAAGTCCTGACTTTGATACATTCTGGTAATGCAATCCCCTCCCCTCTCAGTGCCCCCTGGCAATTGTCTATGACTAAGTGGCACACCAGATGTTGATCTGCTCTGGTGGAGAGGATTTCCTCACTGGGAGTTAACTATAGCAGTACAATCACAGGTCCAGTACCAAAAAGAAAAAAAAAAAAGACATCCCTTAACTTGAAGCTTAGGGGCAGCTATGTGGTGCAGTGGATGGAGTGTTGAACTTGGAGTGAGGAAGAACTCCAGTTCAAATCTGACCTTTCTGTATAAGTTCATCACCTAAGGAGCATTTCTCATTTTCAGTCTTCTGAATTAAATTTGTCATTGATCAGTTAATCTTTCAAAGTTGCTTTTCTATTACTGTCATTACATTGTTCTCCCAGTTCTACTCACTTTACTTTGCATCAGTTTTTAAAAGTCTTTCCAGTTGCCTCTGACACTCCATTTTGTCATTTCTTACAGCATAATAATATTCCATTCATATACTTCATTCATATATTTGTTTAGTCATTCCTCAATAGAAGGATAGTACCCGAGTTTTCAATTCTCAGCTACTATGAAAAGAATTCCTCTAAGTATTTATGTGTCTATGGGTATTTTTCTGCTTTCTTTGATTTCAGGCCCTTTGTTTTTAATACTAACAGTCTGCTGGTGTTACTATATGGCAACCAAGATGTGGAATATAAGCCTCCAAAGAATAAAAAATGAGTATCTCATGAAGGGTAGCAGAAAGATGTGTACTAGGTTGAGCAGACTGTACCATCCTGCCATTGAGAAACTCCAAAAAAGAATCAGAATAAAAGCTATCAAAGAATAGTATGATGAGATGGGCAAGCCATGAGACAAGGGCAAAGGATGACAGGTGGACAGCTCTTTACTGGTATTCTTGGGATGTTAGAAGCAAGCAAGAAAGAACTCCAACATTAGGGGTATCTCCTGTGACTTATGAAAAGCTGTGTGGACAAGGGGCAGAGGACAAACAGGCCTATATGAGTTGTGCGTTTTCTCTTTGCAGTGAACTCACAAATCAGTAAGATGATAGATCCATTTGAATATTTGAACAAATATTTAAAGTGGGGGTAAGAGTTTACAGTTAAGAGTCTGGTTAGAAATTTAAAATAAATTAACATAGTATCTCAAAAAGTATAAAATTAAGATTCTATTTGTAAAAGTTCATTAATATTAAGTTTTGCAAGAATATAACTTTCATAAAAGCAAGGTACACAAGGCTTCACAAAAAACAAACAAAAAAAAAAACAGGAGAAAGGATTCAAAGACAAAAATAACTAAAGAGCTTCAAAATAAGATCTGTGACCAAGAAGGCCAAAAGACCAGCCCTATAAATGCCAAAATATTCATAAAAGGACTTTTTGTGGAAGCAAAAAAAAAAACAAAAAACAGAGAAAATGGGTGCATCTATCTATTGGGAAGCAAATTATAGTATATGAATGTAATAAAATATTACTGAGCTCTAAGGAATGATTAAGAATTCAGAAAAATGAGAAGACTGATGAATTAGTGAAGAGCCAAAAGAAAAAAGCCAAACCAAGAGAATATAAACATCAATCCCACAATAATGTAAATGAAAATACTAAAAATCACCAGAATTCAGATGAAATTCAGTGACTCCATGATGACATACATTTAACATGGGACCATAGATTAAGACTGGAAGAGACCTTAAAGGTCATCTCATCTTATTTTCCAATTTTCACCAATGAACAGATTAGGAAATTAAGATTAAGAGATTTTCTTGAGATCACACCAATAATTAAGTGGGAGAAGGGAGGTGGGATGAACCTCAAGGCCAGTGACCTCTCCAGTGTCCACTTCCTGGTATCAGCAGCATTCTAGAGGTGCAGATAAAATTTCTAGGCGAGTTTGTTTTGCTTAACTTTTTGTTATAAGGGGGAAGGAATGGTTATTGAAATGCAACAGCATATTTTTAAAAACAAAGAATATTAATAAAATATTTTAAAAAGAAGATACGCTTTATGAGGATGAAAGGAACTGGTATTATTTGATTCCCTCCCTAATACTTTCCCTCCCCACTAAAAAAAGACTGAGTGGTAAATGAATAAGATTCAAACATCTGGAGGGCTATCAGAAGAGGAATATCAAAAGGCTATTATTATCTGAGACTAAAGAAAAGTCAGGCTCAGGGACTAGATAGGCTGGAAATCTGATGTGAGTACTTCCTGACTATAAAGAATTAAACAAACTACTGAAAGTTCTGATTGTATTTCCTTACCTAGAAAAATTAATAAAACATTCAGATACAAATGTAATCATTTTTAGACATTTAATGTTAATACATTCAAATGTATTGGCAAAGAGTAAACTGCTTTCCCCATGCTGAGGCAAGAGTGGTGTAGATTCCGACATCCCAGGAAAGCTATAGTTTCACCATTAGCTAACAGCTTCAGGGCATGGGACAGCTAGGCTGGTAGGGGACTGAGGATGCCAAATGCTCTCTGTAGAGCCAGAAATCAGTTTCGCTGGGTACAAAGATGAAAAATTCTTGAGTCTTAAGAAAGGTATCTCAGAATGGAAGCATAATCCAGAGGGGGCTCCTCCTTCCTAACAGAAACATGATATACTCTGAATACTTCTCCCCTTCCCAGATTCTGATGTAGAATACTTGCTGAATCAAAACATCAGCTCATTCTAAACATTTAAAATGGACTGTGCCCCGTACAGTAAGAGCCAGACAAGGAAAACCATCCTTCAATCTGAAGATTTTATAAAATTATTCAAAATATAGAAACAAAATTACTTCATCAAAAATCACATCTTAAGGAGATATTTATTTTCCAAATATCACTATTTCAGTGTCTCTTGAAAAATACGTTTCGATGAGCTTCTTCTTGAACGAAGTTATCCACTGGGAGTCACTCAAACAGTTCCCTTTCCAATACTGCAGGCTAAAGTTCATTTAAAGGTTGACTGATACTATTGACCAACCAAAGCCTCAAACAGCCATGCTGCTTGTCTCTTGTTTCTGGTCCCTGGAAACACCATTGGATTTACTGTCAAACACAGAAGTGCTTTCTTTTCTTATCATGGTAGCAAAAAGCATGTCCATCATCCCCAAAGCTTCTAACAGTTGTCCTTGGTAACTAATCTCTTTTTCTACAAGCTCTTGAAGCACCAAAAACTGTTTGTCTATTACTGGTGACTGTCCAATCACAGGCAGGTATATGTCTAGGGAAAAAAAACAAAACATAGTCACTAGAATTTCCTTTCTACTATAAGGGAAGATGTATTTTTTATAGACAGTAGAATTTGCACTGAAGTGTATGACAAAGAACCACTTTTGTTTTGTTACTTTGTCCTTCTTTTTTTTTTGCATAAGGTGGCGTAAGCATAGAAACAATTTGCACAATGATCTAACTCTATAGCTACGTCCCTCAGAAGAGATCAAACAAGGGGCAGGTAGGTGGCGCAGTGGATAGAGCACCGGCCCCGGATTCAGGAGGACCTGAGTTCAAATCCGGCCTCAGACACATAACACTTATTGGTTGTGTGACCTTGGGCAAGTCACTTAACCCCATTGCCTAGCCAAAAAAAAAAGGAAAAAAAAAAAAGAAGAGATCAAATGAGATAATATATGAAAGCATTTTTAATGAAGTGCTACAATAACTGTCAGTTATGATGATAAATTTGAGTTAATAAACAATCATGTCAGCTGAATTTTAAATTCAATTTTAGCATTTTCACAACCATATCTATTAAACTGCTTAAATTTAAAGACTACAAACTTCAAAAAAATAAATAAATAAAAAACCCTTACAACTTACCAATGACCATTTCAGCAACATTGATCAAAACAGGGGCAAATCTTGGCTCTGCCAGGTGCCTACAGAGGAAAAAATTGGTTCATCAGAACCAAAAGTTAGGAAGTTGTAACCTTTTTGTTATATCAGTTCTATAAAAATCTAAGTTTGTAGCACACTAGATTTGTAGTCATAAGGCCTGGTTGGGTTCAAACCTTGGCTTTGACCCTTCCTAGCTACATGACTGTGCCACTAAAAGTTTAATCTCTTCAGTTCAGTTTCCTCATTTGTTTAATGGGGGTGGGAAGGAGAATTACTTCTACTACCAGCCTCATGGGACTGTTGTGAGGAAGCACTTGGTGAAGGTTAAAGCAGTACAGAAGCGTGAGTTACTCCAAGGAAGAGGAGTGAGGACCTGTGATTTCACTGGTATATGGAACTTCCAGCTGAGGAAACTCCTTTTCCCAACCTTCTTTGCAACTTACTGCTTCAGAGAGTTGCCCAGAACAGTGAGGGATTAAATGCCTCGGCCCAGGGAACAAATTCAGGTCTTTGTGGCTTCCAGGCCAACTTTCTATCTACTACACCATGGAAATAAGGTTTTTAGGTTCAAAAGACTGTTGTTTGAGGGACTACAAAGCATACCTTATCAAGAAACTAAGAATAACACTAAGTTGTTTCTCATCTCTCCCTGCAAGGGCATTCGAAAGAGTTCCTCTTCGATTTAACTCCTGAATGACAGCAACTGTAACTTCGGGCTGTTTGACTCTAAACCTGGGCTAAAATAAAATGGAAAAAAGTCAACCAAGTACACAATACAGTAAGCTCCAAGATCAAAGTCATTAACATTATAAAACCTTTTAAAAAGGCTTTTCTCCAGTGTTTGTGAATGCTGGTAATTATACCCCAAATAAAACAATTACAGGGAAAAAATGTTGTTGCTCACCTGAAGTACTCTATCAAGAGCTTTGGAAACCTGAAAGCTTTTCAAATCTCTGTCATATGTCTGTAAGTATGTCTTTAACGGTCTGCTGACCAAAACATCATCCTGCAAAGACAAATTTTAAACAGGAAAAAAAATCTAAATCTTTCTTTTCATTCTGTAAGTGATTTTTTTCATTATCACTTTCCACAGAAGCAGGGAGGGTGGAAGGAAGAAGGGAGTACTTTTAAATATTCATACTACCATTACACTTACAAGGTACAGCACATGAAAGTAGGAAAATATTACTAAATCAATACCTAAAAAGTGAATTCTAAGAATTTGTTATAATTATACTATAAAGTTATATATATATATTATATATATATATTATATATATAAACTTATAAATTGTATCTTCTAATATCAATCCTCTTTACTTGGGACACCTTGTGAAAGCACTCCCCTCTTATCAAATCCCCATCATTATCCTTATTTTGTCATTCAAAGAACTGATGCTTTCTAATAACTTTCTTTAGGGATTGGTTTGGCCAATTCTTTAATGAGGCATATCTGATGTTGAAAAGAAAGAAATTAAGGATTTACTCTATTCTCCTCCCTCTGAAATACCTGTTTTTTCATGTAATTTTTCCCTCTAACAAACGTTCTATAGGCAGGCCTTCGTCTCCTTGGAAAAGGATCCTTCTTTGCTTCAGGTTTCCGATGTTTAACATTTAGCACTCCATTAGTCATTCCTACAACTATAGTTTCATCTTCACGCTGAAATGAATTTTTAAAGGTTGGTAAGTACTGGTGAACTGTAATACTATTTTGTAACAATCAGATACTACCCTTTTATCTTAAATAGGCTTTACAGAGTTATTTACTGCTATTTATTGTATTGCTAGATCATTAGGGTGAGCAAAAATATAAACCCAGAGGGTAGAAAAGAAAGAGAATTCCATTTTACTACCAACATAACCTTTGTGGTGAACACACACGGTGAATGGATTACATTCATTCATATGGCTTCACTAAAAAAATCATAAAATACACGAATACAGAGTTAACAACATCTTGGAAGAGTCTTAAAATATTTTTATTTCTCCTCCAAACTGCTGACTCTTCTTAAATCCTCACAGTTGGTCTTGACTCCAGAAAAGGCTAATGAGGTGGCTCTACTTTTCTACAGTCTTTCCAAAGGGATCATAGATCTAGATCACAGATCTAGAGCTGGAAGGCATGTCACTTTACAGATGAGTCAATGAGCCCCAGGAACAGGTCTAAGGTCACAGATATTTGGGATTAAGTTTCTTATACTATTAAGTACCTCCAAATAAACCAGTGGTACTAAAATGCCCTCAATCTGGTAGAGAGAAGAAATAACATGTTTAATAGAGAGAGAAAAGGCCACCAACATAAAAGAGATTCTTTACTGTGCATTTTCTTTACTGGAGGAATTAAATTTGTCCTTTAGAATTTTACACTCTATTTGGGGTGGATATTGGATCCCTGGTCATCCTTTCCAGTACTGACTGCACCTTCTCATTGGGATGCTCTTTGCTCCCCACTGCTATTTCCAGGCTTTTCCTCTGTCACCACTCAGCAACTTCTCCTCCTTTGAGGTTTACTCTACCCAAATGTCCAGATTCTGATGGTTATTAACGAGTTCAGTACCTTGAGAAGTTTCTCCCTCAATACTCCAACTGCTGCCCCAATACTAGGAGACTGCAGCACACATCCTTAACTTCCCAGTTCCTCGATATACCCAACTTCCATAACCTCTTACTCCACTCTACTCCCCTCTACCTGTTATACACAGGGATGGTCACACACTTGATTCTGCCATCACCCAAAACGATTCCATATCCATACTCAAGAACTCTGAAATTTCTTTATCTAGTCAGAACATCCTACCATTTCCACCTCTCCCTATGCCTTGTTCCTCCCTAGGCCCCCCTCCTGATTCTCCATTCTTTCTCAACCATAGCTGACTTCTCACCCTCAAAGTTCACTCTGCCCCCTGGTCTTTACACACTGGAAACACATGTTGCCCCTGTGGCCACTTCCACTTTGGTTGGTTCCACCTAGAACCTCCGTTTTAAGGAAAGTATCTCAGTCGGGTCTTCATTACTCTCTGGATTCTATTCCTCTGATGCTCCAGACTTTCTCTATGCCATGGTATCTTTTCTCTCCCTTCTCTCAGCCTATTTTTCAGCTTCTTTTTATGCTATATCTTTCCCCATTAGAATGTAAGGGCCTTGAGGGCAGGGAATGCCTTTCTTTTTGCTTATATTTGTATTCCAACATAAGCTCTTAATAAAACATTTGTTGACTTATTTGTCCTGAAATCATTCTGTCCTAATGGTGACCTTCAATCCCTCTAGCTCTCAGAACTTTCCCAGGCATTCACCCCTTCTTAGGTGACTTCACCTCCTACCTTTCCTACTTATAACCCTTTAGGTGATGAGTTCAACGCTGCCCTTTCCTCTACTCTTGAGGCCCTTGTTCTCCTGTCCCACTGCCGCCCACACCTTGTCAAGCCCTAACCTTGTATAACTCCTCCCATCCACCTCTTCTGTCCCTACTTATGTGCTACCAAACAGAGCTAGAGAAAATCATATAATCACGCTGACTGGATTTACCACACATTTATCTCATCTCCACTAGACCCTCACTATAGCAAGGCAATTCTTTCACTCCTCCCTAATTACCCGAGTTAGCAGAGAGGAGCTGTTCAATACCTTCTCGAGTCTCCCATACTATCTCCCTTTTCTCATGAAGACTTTCTTGATCCTCCAACTAATAGTGTCTTTCCCCAAAAATTATCTTGCATTTATTCTGTAATACACTTATAAGTATACGTGTTATCTCTCCTCATTAGACCATAAGCCTAGGGAAGGGGGCCATTTCATTTGTGTCTTTGTATTCCCAGTACCTAGCACAGTACCGAAGCGCACACAGGAAGCACTTAATAAATGTTTGTTGGACTAGATGTGCTTAAAAATTCTGTTCTTTTTAGTTCTCATCTCTAATATCTTGGTACACGCTACACTGTTGTTGTTGAGTCATTTCAGTTGTGTCCAACTCTTCAGTGACCCCATTTGGGATTTTCTTGGTAGAGATACTGAAGTGGTTTGCCATTTCCTTCTCCAGCTCATCTGACAGATGAGGAAACCGAGGCAAAAAGGGTTAAGTGACTTGTCCAGAGTCACATAGCTAGAAAGTGTCTGAGGCCAGATCTGAACTCAGGAAGATAATTCTTCCTGACTCCTGGCCCAGCACTCTATCCACTAGCTGCCTTACACACTACATTATATTAAGTCATTACATAAACCAACAAAATATACTCTAGATACTCTCAAACATTCTAGGCAAGAGAAAGAAAAGGAAATTCTCCAAACTAAACTACAAACCCAAAACATTCCTTTTCTGATCTGTCTAAAATGTCTAAAGGATAGCTTTAAGAAATAAAAACATATCAAAAGGAACCCAGCACAGATACTTACTGCCAATGCCAGGCTTAAAATTGATGCCGCGTAATCAAAACTGTGTACTACTTTGTAGGAAGTCGTGCTGTACACTTTCACCTTCCTAATAAGAGAAACTTAGTTACAACTCTTCTTGGAACTTTTCAGCCTAAAGTATACAGTGCATAATGTTTAAGAAAGCAAACATATGAGGATAAAGACCTATTTAATAAAATAAAATTAAGACATTATGTGAATTGTAAAAAGATTCATCATGGAGCTCCCCAAATTTATTAAATGTTTATTTACAGGCCATAAAAAAATAGAGTCTTAATACAATTTTAAACACCACTCTTTCAAAGGAGATAGTCCTTATAATAATGACTTCTATGTAACATCACTATGTCTGGTTTTAGCTGCAAAAAATAACTCACATTGGCATCATAATTTAAAATCTACAAAGCGCTTTCCCCACAACTCTCTAAGTTAGGCAGTGCAAGTATTATTGCAACCATTTTACAGATGGGGGAAATAAAGTCTTGTTCAGGGTAACAGCCAGAAAACTATCTGAACTTAGACAGAACAAAACAGCAGGCAATTCTGTCGCAGGTTGTGCCTCACTAAGACTGCTCAACTAAACTGAAACCACTCAGCTCAGTGTCAAACTGAAAACAGAAAGCTGGAGCTGCAGCATGGCTGAGGAGATTTCTATGGCTCCTTCCGGGCCTCATGTCCTCTGGCACATACCAGAGCCACTCCAATAGGGAAGCGACATGGCAAGGTGCAAAGAATACTGGGTCTGGGATCTGATCACCCCTCTTCCTCTTAAGTCACTTCAAACACTTTGGCAATTTGCCTGTATTAAATGATAAACTCAAAAAACATTATTATGAAATGTGAATAATCCCTAACGAAGACAGGCACCAGTTAAATAAATTTACCATAAGCATAGGAATAAGAGGATCAACACTGGCAAAATTTAGCACCAGTGAGTTATCAGATTTATAAGACCTAGAACTGAAAGACCTCCAAGATTGCCTAGTTTAATTCTCCTGTTTTACAAGATAAAGAAACTGAGGCTTTATTGAAATAAGTCTTCACTATCCATGAGGAGGTACAGTAGTAGGTTTTTACTAAAGGAACTTTAAGACAGCCAATTAACATTCAAAGACAACTTTTATTCATTTGTTTGTTCGTTTATTCATTCATTTTCAACACACTCACGATGGACAGCGCATGCTATGTGGATACTAGAGGAGACAGAATAATAAAAAGTCACAGAAGTCTTATTGTACTTTAAGCTTTAATAAGCTTTTTAGAAAGCTTAAAGCTGCATTAAGACTTCTGATATACCCTGCATAGGAATACAGTATAAAAAGACATTGTATCCTTACCCAAAACTGTAATCCAGATTTAAAATCAATTCAGAGCTAAATAAAATAACTTAGATATAATCAACAAATGTTTGCATATCCATACTCCAGCACCAACTAAAGACTGAGATAAATACAAGCAAAATTATGCTTACTACTTCAAAAAGAAATAATGACTACAAAAAGAGAATGCAGACTCTAAACCTGTAAAAGTTGTAGAGGAATATTTAAGGAGGCTATAAACTGCTATGGTAGATTTACTCCTATCGGAAGTGTATCAGCATAACAAACCCCAACTCAGAGCTAAAATACAAAGAGGGATGATAGTAAATTAAGAGACAGCACTGTTATAAGTTCAGTTAAGATGGAAACTATAATAGGATAAATAAAAATTCCTGAGATTAAAAAAAAATCTGTTTTGCCAAGGCATAGGATTCCTAGCAAGAATGATCCTCAAAGAAGTTTCAGCCACCTACTTGTCAAGACCTTAAACTTTAAGATGACAAGATTTAATAAGCTATGAAAGACTGATGATGCTTTAAAAAGCCAATTGTTTCCTGGATGATGGAGAAGAAAAGTTTATAGAAATGCATTTATCACTCGAAGTTCGCAAAGGGCAAGCTGACTTATCTCTTCCTGACAATATTCCATGGCTCACAGTACAAAGATCACTATGATTTGCACTGGAACTATGCAAGCAAAGGAACAAGAAGAAAAAAAATCAAGTACAAAAAAAAAGAGGTATAAGGGATGAAGTGAATCTGAACAAAGGGAAAGGCAGTTCAATGAACAGGTGATCTTGGAGATGTGGGTATAATTTCCTACAGTGGTGCCAACGACAACCCATCCACCCATGCCTCTTCATACTCCTGAAAACATTACGTAGAGGCTCCACTCACGTGTGACTGAAGTGTCACAAGTTCACAACTTTAGAATTGGAGGGAGACTCTCTTGACAACATGGGCCCCAATGGAGCACACAGCAGATATCCCAGCCTCTTACTACTATTCCCAGATCATGATCCTGATATTATCATTCACGCCAATTTTCTTGGCACAATTCTTTGCTGTCAAGATGCTGTCATTTACTCGCGTCCACCATACATCATTCCACTGCCCTTTGGCTCAACTGTCATTTTGTTTCCTCTCAGATTATGGTGGTCTCCCATTTACAGCCACATAGCAGCATTGGAAGAATACTGGTGTCAAAAAGAAGGGCTTTTTGTTTCAGAGGGAAGCTCGGGGTCATTAATGGCACGATGCAATCTCCCATACGCAGTCAGGTCTCATCTCCTATTCAATTCTGAACCCATTATTTCTCTGTAGTGTCCAAGATACATGTAGAGCTTTACACAACATCCATCCAAATGTACATGAGAACCTAGAGACAATAGGCCTACATCACCCACTTTTTTCCTATATGGAAAATTAAGGGAAAAGGTTTGAGTGATTATGCTTATTTATAAGGCTCTGCAATATTCTGAAAATGGCACAATCTGAACAGTATTATTCACAAACAGGAGCACCCAGAGGGGTACATTCTTATTCTACAGGGAGTCACTCTTCTATTGAGATTCTGTGCTGGACGTCCTCCAGGACATGTACAGGGCAAACGCCTTCAACAAGCATGTCTGTTTTATGCCTTGCCTTGATATTTATAATCATTTGCTTGTATAAAGTTCTCTTATTTTATTTTTCAGTTTTATATGATTTTAAAATAGGCACTAGAGACAGCAAGGAGAAAATTGTGTTCCACTACATCAAAATTTTTTTATAGTCAACAAAATGTAAAGTGAGATTTTACATTTATTATACCTTTCCAACAATCTTGTGACTGCAAAATTATATTCTGCTGTAGAATATCACTTGCAAAAGTTGCCTGGTTCCTTTTGCATACTTTTATCAAAAAAGTCCTCGAATTACAGGTATGGGAAAATAAACACCCACATTTAGTTACTGATATTTTTTGGATTGCTTTCTGGAGCAGTAAAATCTGAATCTTTTCCCAAGGATTTAGTATGATCTCTTTCAAGAGACCTTGAAAATTAATTTCTCATCATCCTCAAAACAGCACTGCTTCCAACAGGGACCTGTCTACTCTGTGTACACTTGACTTCATTCACCTTTATTTTCTTACACCTTTATACAGGACCCTAGAGATTGTGACATTAAGAGTTCAAATGTGGAAAACTTCACCGACACTGACAGAAGGGAACTGCTACAGAAATCCTGACAGACCTTTTATATTTTCCATCTGTTTGTTATCCTCGTTCTTCTATGTTTCTCACCAAGCTTTCTGTAAAACTTGTTTTCCTCCACTTCTTGCTCTTTTATGTGATGTTGCTCATAAGTTTCCACCATCCCACTCTGTGAGATTTTATAAAACAGTTTATATCCGAAGCCAGTGTTACCCTTGGCTGTCATCACTCTCTTCTTTGGCAAAAACAAGTGTTTTCTGGCTAAGCTGTTTCTAGGCTCTTTTAGCCTCCTTTTAACTACTGAGAATGTCAAGATTAATATGATTCAGTTCCTCCAGTAGTACGTCCTCCAGAGAAGGCTTTCAAATTTAGACTAACAACAGTTAACATCTGTAAGTGATCGAAAAACTGTGATTCTTATTACTTTCTGATTCCTGTACCCCAACTGTCAATGCAGAAAAAAAGAGATCACATTGAACCAGGAGCCATTTTGTAATTTTTTTTGCTTTATGGGTTGCAATGGCCAAAGAATTCTTCATCACACATGGGGAATTCTAGGATCCTCTCCAAACTTATCGAAGTGAGTCTTCAAATAGCAGTCTACTGCTGAGACCACACTTTCTAACCTGAATGAAACTGTTAGACTTTGTTGCTCTGCTGACATAGCCTTTGAAAACCAAGGGTCCCCAAAGTGTTACAATGTTGTTGTTGTTTGTCCTTCATTCTCAAAGAGGATCATGACATCAGAAAGGTGATATCATGACTTGCAAGTGAATTGGATTTAAGTAATGGAAGGCTGTGTAAAGTCACCAGCCTCATTCTTTTCTCCAGACCCATATGGGTCCAGCGGCAAGATATAGATCAGGACAACTGGAGAAGGCCCTGGATGCAGTGGGAAAGATTGGCCTTTTTAAGCTAAGGTCTTTCCCAGGTCTCAGGCTATCTGAGGCAACACCCATTCAGTGATTAAGGCTAGGTAAGAAATGAGGCAAAGAACAGCCTCTTTTACCTAGCCAAAAAAAAAAAAGAAAAAATCAATATGGCAGGGGAAGACCCTCAGGGTTTCTGGCCAAATCAGAAACAATTATTATTTATACTCACTCTGAACCATCAGAACCTAAACAAATGACCAAATGAGGCTTGGGCTAGGACCTACTCTTGGCCAATCAATGAGAGCCAGAGTCAGATCTCCTAGAGGCTAATGATATAAAGGAAAGGACTTGAAAATTGGACAACATATTGAAGTTGTTCCTTTTTATAGTGATCTACTCATCAACAACAGATAATCGACCACATTTAGAATCTATCACTTCAGTACCTAATGTACCAGGAGAGGAAGCAAACGCATTTAAGAAGAAGTTGAAAAGGGTGTCTGAGTTTAACCAAATAGATGGAAAAAAAAAAAAAAGAAAGATATAATTTTAAAAGTACTTAAGATCAATTTTTAAGAGATCCCAAAAATTCTTTAAAAACAACCAAGAAAATCATGAGTTGCACTTTTTTTTTTTTTTTAAACTAAAAAGTGACACCCAGAAGCCACTGGCCCATACATCTACTTTCTAATCCCTCTAAAATCAGAATAGTCTCTACATTTTTCTAAGCAATCAGTGATAAAAATATAAAGTGGGAAGGGGCTTTCTCAGACAACTTGCTACAGTAGACTATGTCTTCAAAGTCAGAAAAAAAAAGTGAGAAGTGATGAAAAGTTAAGCCCCCACTGTGCATATTTTGTTGATTTTTAAAATCATTTGAATTTTTCTGAACTTTCAGTTTCTCTCTATTACATAATCTACCTTAAAATGCAGACCAGAACAGGCTGCATGAGGTGAATAAGGTTTTAATGCCAAAACCTAACAAGGATAAAACCAAAGAAAGTAAATTATCAGTCCAATTCATTTGTGATTTTACTTATGAATATAAATATCCCAAATAAAATCTTAGCAAACACAATGTATTAAATGAATATTTTAAAAAATTATCCATGATATTAAAATAATTATTTTTGTAGATAATAACAAGAGCCAGGGAAAACCAAAAAACACTTAAAGAGTTCAGCAAAGTTGCAGGGCATAAAAGAAAAACATAAAATTTACTATATTCCTATGCAGGGTATATCAGAAGTCTTAGTGCAGGTTTAAACTTTCTAAAAAGCTTATTAAAGCTTAAAGTGCAATAAGACTTCTGGGACTTCTTATATACAAATAACCAACAGTTCACATCCTATTTATTTATAATCTAGTCTAAGTCATTTAGCCTCTTTAAGCCTCAGTCTCCATATCTGTAAAGTAGGGATGAAATCACTTGCCCAACCTAACGTGGGTGTGTGAGGAAAGCACTTTGGAAACTACAAAGCACTATACACAATTCAAATATTACAACAACACAACAAACTGAATTTTTGGAAACAGTCGAAGAAAAAAAATATTTAACTGTAATTCACTTTATAGTCCTTTGAGAAGGGAGAACCACATCTACTTTATTAAGCAGTTGAGACTTGTATACTTATCTCCAGGCAATATTTTTCTTAATTCAAGACAAAGCCAAGTCTCTGGCCAAATTAAGTTACTGACCTGTCTAGTGATCCAGAGAGTAGTCTTTGTCCAGAGCTGCTTAGACATAAGCATGTGACGGTTTTGTGATGATTTCTCAGGGATACTAGCAATTGTCCTCCTTTAAGAATGTCCCAGACCTTAACATAGCGACCTCCTGGACATAAGAAGAATCAAATATATGTTAATATGAGACACAAAAATGCTTTAGAAACATAAATCACCTTTATTGTTATTAACCAAGGAAGTACTGTTCTTCAACTTAAATTTCAAAGCCTATTTGTTTGAAAAACAAATCACTTGAAACTTGTTATGAAAACCATAAACTTAAGAAAAAATGCATTATATAATAAGATCTTCTGTTTGTGTTGATAAAAATTTTCTATTTTTATGAAAATTGTGAAATACTACTAATTTAAGGAAAACATACCTCAACAAAATTATGAAAATAGGAATCCAGATTGTATATGGTTCTCTTTTTCAGCAAGCAGGCAACCTGAAGCCTTCTCTAGAAATCTTAATTTCAAGCATTTTTTCCTCAGAAGCACAATAAAGAGAAGAGAGGGAAAAAATTCAGGGAGACCTATTTTTTGGGGGGGTGGGGACATGGGAGGGTACAGAGGGAGGACCCTGGACTGTGAGGTAGGGGATAAGATGTACGAATGATGAGATCAACAAAACACTGGAAACTTGGACACTTAATAACTATGAAACTTTCATGACTACTACTCTGGGCTTCCAGTTTTCTCACCTGTAAAATGAGGGGTTCTATCAGGTAATCTCTAAAGTACCTCTACCCTGCTCTAAATCCCATAATTCTAAATCATTCATCCTCTCTGGGGCTCAGTTTTCTGATCTGTAAAATAGGAATAATTAACATGCACTTCTTATTCAATTAGGTCATTGTGAAGAAGGCATGTTAAACCTAAAAGCTCCAAATAAATGTGAAATATTAAGTGTTAGGTTGCTTAGCATTAAGCTTTAGATTCTACTACGTCAAAGATAGGAATTCGCTTCATGGAAAGCAATCATTATAACATATCTATACACTGCACACAAGTCTGCAGCGTTTCAGGACTACACTGAGTAACTTTCTAACTTAAATAGAAAAAGGCCCTTAGCTTTGCATCATCATGTTGAAAAAATCAAAGACAATAAGTAAACAAAACTTTCTGTCCAGACTCCATGTAGAACGTGTCCAGGCTGACACCAGAGTCTCGGAAGCTTAGATTTCCTCAGAGTCTCCCTGGCCCTGCTGAACCATTAGCTTCCTGCTGGGTCATCAAGCTGAAGACTGCCAGGACTTTGGTTCTGACCAAAAATCTGCTGCAATCCCTCTGAGCTGGAGAAAGACACAAAAGTACTGAGACAATGTGGGTGCTGAGGCATTTTTCCTTCTTAAAAATAACTATGATCTTCATAAAAAGTTTCAGGTATTTAATTCAAAATTTAAGGTCAAGAATAACCCCTTATTAGATAATAACAATAATGGTAATTTGTGTTTACATAACCCTTTCATGTGCCCTTAACATCTGTTCAATTCTCCCCACTCCTTCAACAACCTGAGATATATATTCAGACACACAATGAAATTAAGCAAAGACAAATTACTCAAATGAAATAAGGAAATGTTGTCTAGTAAATAATCATCAGCAATTCAGAAAGGAAATACTAGGTATACAATGAGAAGTCAATATTAAACCTCTTTAAAAAAAAAATTGAAAACCATTCAATACCTGCAGACACTAGAAGGCCTCCAGATGGAAAGAGCAGAACGCTCTCCACAGGCTGTCCGTGCTCCACAGTCAGCACGCTTTTCTTCACTCGGGCATCAAACATTTTTACAGTATGGTCATATGAACCTAAAACATCAGTTTATGCTTTTATGAAATTGGCCACAACCACAAACAAGAATTCACAAAGGAAATTCACAATTCACAAAGTCCAAAAGGCATGGCTAATAGCATGAAGGATCCCTAAGGACGTCTGTGTGTCCAAGCTGAGCACTAAGTTTGCACTGAAGACAGCACAGTGGAAAACGAGGCTTTGGAGTCAGAAGGTCTGCCATCCAGTCCCAGGTCTGCTCACTACTGCCCTGTGTCCTTGGGTCCAGCCCCTTGCCCACTCTGAGTTCCCCTTCCTCATCTATCCAGTGAGAGTTGCATGAGATAATCCTGCCCGTCACCTCCAACTCTCAAATTCCCATGTTCCACATGTGTGCACATACTATGCTTTTCTCAGCAGTGTCTAGCTTTCCTTGATTTTCCATTGCTCCTGCCTTCACAGTCCATGTCAGTTTGCTAAACAACCAAAGGTGTAAAACCATGGTTAGAGGCAGTCATAAAAATGTAACTCTACCACCTTTGACCCTTAACTACCACTGAAGCCATAAGGCCTGACAAAATGAAATGAATTTGCTCAAATTACCATGTTAGAGCACACGTCTTTCCTTTCTGTTAAAGATCAATAAACTACAAAAATGGAAAATAACATGAAGAATGCTTGGCCATCTCTCTATCAGGGAGTCGTGTTTAACAGCAAGGTACTATGGGAGGAGGGTTGTTCATTAGGAGGTGACTGTCATCTCAAAACAAAATATATCAATAAAATAATGTATGTAAAAGAACTTGCTATGACACAGATTTACTTTGCAAGGGGCACAGAAAAGGCAAGCAGACACGAGAATTTTGAAGGCGGTTTGCTAATCACACATACACACTGATCATTACAGGCTTACTACAGACCTTCAGGCATGCACCTCCATGACCATCTATTTATAAATCTCCTCGATTTACAGATAAAGAAATTAGAGCCCAAAAAGGTCCTTTGTACCACACTGGCTCCAAAGCAAACAATAAGAGGAGGTGGAGAGTGGGAGCAAAGGATAACATGTAAAAAGGAGAAGAAACAAACCTGAATTCATTATGAAATTGGAAAAATTTCCCCCTCCCCCAATGAGCAAAAAGTGCACTGCTGTGAAATCATCTACCTCAGAAAAAATATTAAGCTAACCTGTTACAAGGAGATCTGCATTAAGTTTGCTGGCACATCCGCATCTCACATAATCTGTATGCTCACTAAAGGACAAAATTTCAGTAGCATTTGGGATGTCCCATAACTTAGTTGTATAATCATCTGCTCCAGAGAGGATGCGGTATTTATCAGCTGTAAAATCTACCATATGAACAGCTCTGAAAGATAAGAAATGGTAAAATATAAGATTATAGCAGGAATTTTATTTCTGTAATATTCTAACAAGGTCAATTTGTACGTAGCTATTAAAAATAGTAAAAAGCCTGAGTGGATGACTGGAGGTGAGGAAACTGTGGGGTCAGAAGAGAACTGAGAAAAAGTGAAGATTGTCAAAAAGCTCATTTGCCCCAATTCAACTTAGATTTTTTCAATTTCCACATCATGATTAGGCTGTCACAGAACAAGAGATTAATAAAGCAATACCAGTAAACTGATAGCTTAATTCAGTTCAACATTTATTAAGCACTTACTGTTTGCAAGAAACTTTGCTAGGAGTTTGTATACAAAGAACCATTACAGATCTATATTGCAAGAAATTTGCAATCTAATATCTAATAAGGAGGAAAGACATTTACACAAATAACCTATCATAAAAGGAAGCATAAAATCTAAGGAGAGGTTCAGCCAAAGCATTGTGAAAAATGTGAGATCTTTAGTAGATTGAAGTGTGGACCTTTGGGGACACTGTTGCCTTAATAATATGCTTAACATTTCCACAGGAAGAGGTAGCATGAATAAATAAACGCCTAATGTGTTAGGCTTGATGTCAGGAAGAGTTGGGTCCAAGTTCTGTCGTGGACACCTTCTATGTGCCTCATACAACTCAGGACTGACTATATTTTAGGGCAAAAATGGCTGGTTGCCATCCTCAGTGGTTGCCTCCACAGTGTGGAGGGAGTTTGCAAAACAGAAAGAAATAACAGGTACTTTTGCATCTGTGTAAGCTTCAACAGATCTAATAGAAAAAGGCAGTTCACATCTTAATTCAATATCTTCAATTCAGGTTCTATTAAATTAATTTAATCTTGGGGCAGCTAGGTGGTGCAGTGGATAGAGCACCGGCCCTAAAGTCAGGAGGACCTGAGCTCAAATCCGGCCTCAGACAAAACACTTGACACATACTAGCTGTGTGACCTTGGGCAAGTCACCTAACCCCGATTGCCTCACTTAAAAAAAAAAAATTAATCTTAAATATTTATTTCATTAGCAGTCAATCGCCTATCTGGATTATTGCAATAGCACCCTAACAGATCTCTGAACTCTTTATCCTTCGTGCCACTGCTAGAATAATTTTTCTTTTGTATAGGTATGGTTCAAAACACTTCATTTGCTCTCCCTTCCCATCTAATGAATAAAACTCACTCTTTTTTACTTGGCATTCAAATCTCTTCATCATTGGGTACTAGCCCTCTCCTATTTCTGCCCTCTCTGCTTCAAACTGGGCTATTCTTCTTTGAACCTTCCCAATTCTGTGCAGATAAAATTCTCTGCCTCCAATGTCCACATTCTGTCTATGGACTCCTCTCTATTCCTGCAATAAACATGAATACCATTTGGTATGAATACCACTCGGATCTTTGTGGTAAGTAATGACTTTCCTCTTTAGACTTCACGTGCTTTGTTTTGAACTGCATTAATGCACTTAAATCATCTGTGTTTTCACCTTATCCCTCTACTAGACCGACAACCCCACGAGGGCAGGGACCAGATCTTCCTATCTCCCTCAGCACCTAACAATGGTTGGTATGCTATAGACACAGCATATTCTTGTTGAATTAGTGTCAAATACTGGGTCTATCTTGAAAAATATACTGAAGAACACACTTCTGTTTTAAATTACTATTTCAGTCACAAATAATTTAAATAAAATGTCTGCAATTACTGGATAAAACTATGTCTTATCAAGCAGTTCATCAGAAAGCAAAATGTCCAACAAAACCAAGAAAAAAGGAAAAACAATTCTATGACATAATTCACTTCTAATAGAGATCCACTCAGCTACTCCTCACTGGCTTGCATATTCACCTACTTAAACAGGTTCCTAAATGACTCCTCAAAGTCCAACCTACTCCCAGGCTACCCTCAAAACATGGTACTGGGGCTTTCACACAACACCTAAACCTCCAAGACGGTACCCGTCAATTTCTTCAAGGCTACACCAGAGAATTATACTGAAAAAATGTTATCAATGGAAGTCAGATGCAATTCTTACTTTGCATGGCCATCAAATTGTCTGAGTGGTGCCCTTCCAGTCACATCGAAGAGTTGGACAGCACCATCTTCACTGCCAGCAACAAGGAGCCTACCATCTTGTCGATATGTAGCACAGTAGGCAGTGTCCTTGAAGCGGGAAAAGGTCTTTATAGGTTCTTGGGAGTATCGGCCATAAATATGAATCTATCACAAGTAACAAAGATACACCAAAACAGCTTCATGAATTTTTTTCACCACAGAGTACATGAATCAAAAGTTAAAGATAAACCACGTAAAATCAGACTTGAGATCAAGTCTTACCCTTGAAGAAGCTGTGACAGCATAATTATATGGAGGCTCTGGAGAAAAGTCTATTTTTGTCACTGCACCAAACTCTTTTATCTGAACAGGAGTCTAAATGAAAAACAATGTCATATTAGTACACTTTGAGCAATAGTGGATTAACATCTGTATATATTTCTTACAAATAATTTCTAAGAACTACTTGTGTGCTTCATCTTACAAAGAAATCTTTTAAAACTGATCAAAAACTAATTTTTTAAAATGACAATTTTTTTTTTTAGGCAATTGGGGTTAAGTGACTTGCCCAGGGTCACACAGCTGGTACGTGTCAAGTGTTTGGTCTGAGGCCAAATTTGAACTCAGGTCCTCCTTACTTCAGTATCGGTGCTCCATCCACTGTGCCACCTAGCTGCCCCCACAAATGTTTTACATTATAATGAGGAAAGGTAAAGCAGCTACAATTTATTTATTTATTTATTTATTTGGTGAAGCAATTGTGGTTAAGTAATTTGCCCAGGGTCACACAGTTAGTAAGTGTCAAGTGTCTGGTCTGAGGCTGGATAAGAGGCTACAATTTAACAAGTAGGGATAGAATTATAGAAATTTCATTAAACAACTGATACAAAATATTCAGAAATAAGAACAGGCAATCAAATTATTAGCTTAATCTTCAAGTCATTTGCTAAATTAGCTTCTGAATTGCTTTCAAATTTTTAGATTATTTAGACCATATTAAATTGGTATAGAAAATCAAACCAAAATTAAACTGTGTATTGGAAAAAGTAATATAAATGAAAAATTACTTTCTACTAATTATCTCAGGTCCTTACCTTGTAGTTTTTCCAATACAATGTATCTTGAGTTATTTTCTCACCAAGTTTGGGAAATGTCTGAATAACAACAGGCTTATAACCAGCCATTAGTCTTCACAGTTGAACTATTACCCTCTAAAAAGGGTAATCCTTAGGTATTAAAGTAGTATCCTTTAATATTTTTAATGTCCCCTTCTTTAATCTGAAAAACAGGAAATACAATTTTTATATATTGACATGAATATATATTTAAAATCTTGTTCCCCTCCTATTTTCAAAAGGCTTTGGGGCAGCTTGAATAATAAAATGGTATAAAGGAGTCATTTGAATACTAAACATAAGAAACCAACCAAAGGTAGCATTATTATTTTCTAGTGCCTAAGTTTGGAAGGTTACTTCTTGCAATAAACTTGGGTCTGTTTTTGGGCAGCTAAGGCAAAAAGAACAACACTGAGGTAGCAGAGTTTTTGTTTCTGTAAACAGGAAATAAACACTGTCACTTGTAGAGAAGGCATAAAGTTTCAAACATGATCTTATAAAAGATACAGAAATGTGGTTAAACTGAACGCTCTCTTATCAACTCTGATGAAGGCAGAGGGAAAAACAAAAAATCACAACTTAGTAAAGAACGATGAAATGAAGTGGTCCAGGAAATTTGCTTTCTAATGGTCTAACAATACAGACTGAAGACTGGGGAATGGAGACAGAAGGTTATTTTAAGATTATTCAGCTATCTGTCCAATATCAGCATCCTTAAACCTGATTTGGAGAGGCCCTAATAGCATTAAATTCATGATCTAATCTTTTAACAACTGCCTGTGGCATGCAATATATTCTATAAAATTATTTCAAGTGTCAGCAATTAATTTAGATAACAGATATCTAGACAACAAAACTAACATTCCATTGTGGAAGTTTTTTTTTTTCCTCTTACAGTAGTAATAACTCTTCTTTCTCTGATGCCTTAAGGTTTACAAAGTACATTTTCTCATACAATCCTCACAACAATCTTATGAAGTAGGTGCTATATTTATCCCCACCTTATAGATGAGGTAACTGGAACCAAAAGTGATATGTCCAAAATAACAAAGCAGTGTCTAGGTAAAATATTTAGGTCTTATGGTTATTATTATAATTATTATATTAGAAAGATTCCCTTCTTAAAATTTTGATTTTAAGCATAAGCTTAAAGAGTTAGAGATGGGGCCTGTGACACACATTGACTGTAGGATACTGAAGAAGTCACATAACCTCTCAGTGTCTATACTCTGTAAGTTGTAAACCAGTGATAGACTTGCATTAGCAGAGGAAGTTTCCTCAGTGAGAACTCCTTATACTAAAGAAATCACAGGCTGACCTTTAAAAACGAACCAAAAAAAGGCATCAAAAGGGTCATTCGAATTCAGTGAGTTATGGAAAATACTTTCCTCTCTTCCAAGTTTACATTAACAAGAATCATTAAGTCAATGCCTATATACAGTATAAAGGGGATGCAGTAATTTAGAAGCAGGTTCCCTACTTTTTAATATATGACAACGTTCGAGCAAAAGAATGTTATGCATAGCCCAATCAAAGAAGGTGACAAAAATTACATTTTTCAAATAAATCTAGTGAGATCAAAATGAACCAATGGAACACGTGCATTATACAATTCATTTTGGAAGAAATTGCTCTTATATAGGGAGACATCTGAACTTCACAATACTCATTTGAAGTTTCGAAGAACTAATGTTAATTTTGGAAAAAAGCAAAAGAGCACATGAAATGACTTTTAAAGACAAAATGCTTAGATCCTTTCTCCTCTCATCTCTTCCAATGGGAGCTGTGCAAGAAATTCGCTTAAGTACTAGAGAAGTTTAAAGTCCAAACAGAAGTTTACCATTATGAAAAGGATGAATTACATAACACTGAAGTCTCCGGAAGTGGACGGAGCTTCCAAGAGTGTTTAAAAGTTTAGTTCATGGGTTCTTAACCCGGAGTCTGTGAACTCGGGGAGGGGGGAAGAGGGAGAGGGGTTTGACGGTATGTATATACGTTTATACACCTAGATATTGATGAGTGTATTTCAAGAATTGTTTTCCTTTGTAATCATATGTTTTGTGCATTTAAAAACAAGATTCTGAGCATACAAAAGTCCAGCTCTAACTGATTAGTTAATTAAGCAAGCCTTCCAGCTCGCCCCAGACAGTGAAGCCCTAAGTCTAAAAGTCCTGTCCACAGCGCGAAGCGTGTCGGGGGACGCCTGGCCCCAGACTGTCTCCCCTGTCACCCCGCGAGGCCGCAGACGGTGTGGGTGCTCCCGCAGAGACCCAGGCCCCTGGTCGGGGAGCTCGTCACGGCGCGCTGCGTGAGAGGCAAGCACCCGGCTCCCACTGGCCGCCTCTACCCTTACCTCCCCCGGAGCCTGCGGCGCTTCGGCTCGCAGGAGGAGCCTCTCTGAGTCGTTCGACGGCCGCTCCCGCTGCTTCGGCTCGTCAGGACACCATGCACCCGAGCCAGGGGTCAGTCCCTGGGATTCACGTGTACTCCGGGCCCACGAGTCCACATCCAGCAGCCAGGTCGTCTTCCGGGCCCGTCGCACAATGTGTGCGTCATCTGCGACCCGGTGCTGCCAGATGACGTGTAGGGGAGGCGGGGCCTAGTGACGCAGAGGAGGCGGGGCGGGCTGGGGGAGGATGGCGAAGGAAAGCTAGCGGAAGCTGAAACCTGGTTGTGGCTTCCGCTTCGAAAGCCTTTCAAGTCACTGGCCTCGGGCCGAAAACGCGGGTCGTCTTAGAAGAGAGGAGAAACTGTCCAGTTGGTTCGGAAGGTCAGATGGAAAACCCCGCGTTCCTGAGGTCTGGGGCCGCGGGGAAGGAATAGGAAGTGACGCATCAGCCACAACAACCTGGTTCGGGAGGCGGCGGTGGGACGGGGAGTAGGTGAAGGATGGCGGGGCCGCAGATCGGGGGAGGGGGGCGGGCAAGGAAGGGCCTGTCCGAGGCTCGGGTCCATCCCGCGGGTCCCTGCCCGGGTTGCCTCTCGCGCCCCTGCCCCCTCCCTCCTCTGCCACCCTTGCGCCCCTCCCCCTCCCCCCTCTCCCCTCTCTCCCCTACCCCCTCCCTCACCTGCCCTTCTACTGTCCTCGCGCCCCTTCCTCCTGTCTCCCCTGCCCACTCCCTTCCTTTCCCCCTCCCTCACCATTCTGCCCCCCTCGCTCCTCTGCACCTTCCAGCTCCTCGAGCCCTTGCCCCCCCCATCTTCATTCCTCCCCCCAGCCCCTGCCTCCTCCCTCCCCTGCCATCCTCCTGCCCCTTCCATCCTCCTGGCTTCTCTGGCTTCTTTCAAGTCGCAGCTAAAGTCCCCCTTTTCTTCAAGAAGCCTTTCCCAGTCCTCCTTAGTCTTAGATCTTTACTCTGAGACTATCCGCACTTTATCTTGTAGATTTCTTGTTTGCACATAGTTTTTCATAGGCACTTAATAAACGCTGGTTGATTTGACTTGACTTGAATCGAGAAAAGTGACAGACAAATCCTGGTCACCTAACTAGATGTGTAACTGTGAGCCAGTCACTTCACCTGGCCAAACCACAGTTTCCACATCCATGAAATGGAGATGGTAACCTACCTTGCCTACCTGACAGAAGTGCTATATAAATGTGAACTATTTGATACAGTGAGCATATAATTATTCCTGTTACTAATTCCTACTCCTAATACAGGCCATAATCCCTTTATAGTATAATATCCGGATCACAGATGTAGAACTGGAAAGGACCTGAGAGACCATCTAGCCCAACCCTCTCATTTACACAGAAAGAAACTGAAGCCGGGGAAGTTAAGGTACTTGCCTAAGGTCTTACAAGGAGTGGGAGAGTCAGGATTTGAACCAAGATCCATTGCCTACAAATGAATGAATGAAACTACCTGATATACAGATAGAAAAGTAAGTCTTCCTGGCTCTCAGAGAGCTCACATTTTGATGGATCTTCATCCAGGTCATGCCTTCTAACTATGGGTGTCTGTCCCATAGTTTGTCCCAGGCAGTCTTCTGGATCTGTCTATTTCACTTGGTGAGCTCATCAGCTCCCATGGATTTAATTACCATCTCAATGCTGATGATTCTCCAATTTGCTTATCCAGCCCTAACCTCTCACATCTCCAACTGGTTATCTGGAACTGGATGTCCTGTAGACAACTTAAAATTAACATATCCAAAACTGATTTCATGATTCTTCTCCCTAAGTCCTCCCATCTTCTTAATTTCCCAGTTACTGTCAGTGGCACCACTATCATCCACACCTCCTCACTTTCACCCCCCCCAACCCAAACTCTTGCCAAGGGCTGTCTATATTCTAACTTCATAACATCTCTCTAAATGCCCTTCTCTCCTCTAACTCTGTCATTCCGCTGGTCCAGATCCTAATCTCACCTTCTACCTTAATGGAGTCAAACTAGAATATAAAGGAATTCTCGCTGCCACATATTAACTTAGAAAACCACAAATTAACATTGTCTTTATTGTATTGTATTGTATCGTATACATTTTGTTAAGCATTTCCCAGTTACATTTTAATCTTTTCTGGAGTTTTGCTGGCTTCTAGCTAGGCAGTGAGTTTGACATCCCAGTTCTATGACAAGCCTTTCCCGATCTTCCTTACTACTAGTACTTTTCCTTTTGTTGGTTGTCTTCAATGTACCCTGTATATATCTTGTTTGTATGTAGCTGTTTGTATATTGTCTCTCTCATTAGAATGTAAATTACTTAAGAACAAGGACTGTTTTATGCCTTTCTTTGTATCTCCAGTACTTAATATCATGACTGCTATATAATAGGTATATGATAAGTGATTATTGACTTGTTAATTTACAGGAAAGGTTTCAGCTGCAAGTCAGATGGAAAGATCCATTAGACCTTAGAATGCAGTGGCAAACAAAATGATAATGCATCATCTTTAATGTCATTTCCACTGATAAAAAAAATCTCGTAATTTTCTGATGTTGAACTATTTGAAAGTGCCAAAGACTGTGACCACAAGAACTTTCTTTTCTGGGTCTTTAGGAGAAGTAGTTCCTGGGTGTCATCTCCACAGGGTCTGCTTCCCAGGGTGATGGCTGCAAGGACAAGACTGAAAGCAGGACCATTGGGCTAAAATGTGTATCCACTCTGGGGGAGTAGCCCAGGAGTAGGAGCTGGTATTGGTAGTGGTAAATAAGGCAGGCCCCTCTTTCACAGGGACTTCTCCCCTCAGTGATAGCTTCTGTGCCAGGGATAGAAACAAGGTCATTGGTCTAGAAGGCACTGCTATTCACAGAGCTCTTGGGTTCAGGTTCCTAGGTATTTCCATCAGTGAGTAACGAATGGTGGTGATTTGACTTGGCAGGCACGAGCTGAAGTTCAGGCATGGAAGGTGGCTTATGTGAATGTGTAGAGGCAGGAGAAAGCTCAGGAACGCTTGTGGTCGGTTTGGCATGTAGAGTGGATAAAGGGGAGTAATGTGAAATGAGACTGAAAAGATTGGGTGAAGCCAGATCTTACAAACCATACTTTGTAAAAATACACATGAAGTTGTTTGTATTTTATCCTCTAGGCACTAAGAAGCCACTAAAAGCTTTTTAGCTTGGGAGTGATACAGACAGATGTGTATTTTGTGAAAATTATTTTTGAAGTCTTATAGAGAATGGATTAAAGAGGATTAAGAATTTAAGCAGGGAGACATATTGTGGACCAGGTGAGAGGTGGTGAGGGCCAGAACTTGAGTGTTAGTCATATCACTAGGGAGGAGATCAAGGTGAGAGGTGCTGTGGAGATCGAATCAGCAAGACCTAGGACCTGATCATACATGGAGCATAAGGGAGAAGGAACAATCAAAGATAATTCCAAGATTATAAACCTGGGTGCCTAGGAGGATGTTAGTTCCCTCAGCAGAAAAAGGAAAGTTTGAAAAGGGAACAGACTTAAAGGGGAAGAAAATGAGATTTTTCTCGAGACACTGAGACTTCCAGGTAGAGATCTAGCAGGCAGTTAGTGATGGGAGATTGTAGTTCCAGAGAGAGCCTTTGGCTAAATATATATTAATTATTATTTATTATCATTTATATAATTTATATTTATTATATGTTGTTATTTATATATGTATTGAGAGAGAGATTTTGGAGGCATTTATGTAGAGATGATAATTGAATGTGAGGGATCTATCTGATGAGATCACCAAGTGAGAAGGTATAGAGAAAGAAGAAAAGATAGCCAAGATTAGAGCATTGAGGGACAACTTCATTTAGTGTGAGATAAATGTTAATTCAGGAAAGGAGACCGAGAAGGAATGGCTAAAGGAGTCAGAGGGACAATCAGGATACAGCAAGGAATTGTGTCAGAAGCAACAGAAAAGTCAAGGAGGGAGAAATGCCATTGGATTTAGCAGTTAAGAAATTTTTGGTTATCTTTGAGGGAACTGTTTGAAAGTAAGAAACCATGTTGCACATGGAAGGGAAGTGAGTAACCATAGGTTTTCCATTTGTGCCTCAAATAGCCACTTCTCTAATTCCCACATCTGTGTGTGACACTGAATTTATTCAGCCAAGTATTCAAATTTTGTAGACTCATAGAATTTTAGAATTAGCAGGCCCTTGAAGCATGAGAGTTAAGTACAGTGTGTGTCCCACAAAGAGCCTTGGACTTGGGGTTCTAGTCGTCTACTTCATTGAGTCTCAATCTACTCCTCTGTACACTGAAGTAAATACCTCACCATGACATTGTGATTATCAAATGAGAGAAAGCATGAATGTTTTGCAGACTTTAAGCGCTCTCTTTATGTCAGTTGGTATTTTATTTAATTCAGCTCCCTTGTTTTACAGATGAAGAAACAGAGGTCCGAAGGGATTAAATGGCTTCCTTTAAATCACAGATGGTGACAGAGGTAGATCTAGAACCTAGAAATCTTAGTCAACTAGTATCTCTTGTGTGCAAATATAAACCACCACTGTACTAGATGCTATCTGAGATAGAAAATACAGGCCCTACCCTTGAGGCTTACAATATATGATATGAGAACATGTCTTTAGTGGTGTCCTATCATTTTTCTTCATTGGAATCACTACTTTCACATCTTCATATGCCATTGTAATTTATTTTCCAAAAATTTTCTAACCTTGTTCCCTCTTTCTTCTTTATGATCAATATCAGCCAAAATTTGGCCTTAGAAGATAATGTATAACCTTAAATAGGATTTGCATGGCCTTTACTCTAAATCGTTTTCCTTTTTTAATACAATTTAACATTCCTCCATCATAAAATTCTGCTGTCTCAAAATTTGTAGCAGCATTTGTCTACACCAAATGTAGGAAAATTAAACAAGATACTGCTTGCTATCTCTGCTTCTCTTAAGACATTTTATATCTTATTTTGTTTTGATTGTTTTGTGTAATTTTAGCTGCAGTAAAACATTTTAATTGACCTTATGTTAAAGTCCAGGAGGGAATGCAAATTATGATCTCCTTGTGTAAAGAAAAAATTAATTAATTTTAAAAGTGTTGATTTGTAGAATGCACACTTGAACACTGGTTTTTATTAACTAAAGGTAATGAATTATCCTGCTGTTTCTGTGCAAACGGTCTTTTCCTCTGAACTTTGTTCCAAATCATGTTCCTTTCCTTTTTCTCTAAAGATTCAAATTTAGGAGCCGTACTTATTCCTAATATTGTAGTCATGTTGACTTGTGTAGAGATATGAACTTGGTTATTCTTAGACAGTTTTATTGCTCATAGAAACTGACCATTGCTCAAGTTGCTGATCCTTTATAAGCGCTGATGGTTGTTTCTCCTGTTGACAAGAATTTAAGCCATTTGAAGCCAGTGGTTATTGGCTTGAAATTAATTTTTACATATAGCTTATAATAAATTTGAGTATAAAGCAGGTAAATTAGTAATATCTTCTTTTATGACAAACTGAGATAATTATTTATTTAATTGGAGTGTACCAAAAATAAGAAATTTCAGGTCAGAGGTTTTATATACTATTTGGTAGCAGTCAAGTGTATCTGTATGATACATTCAGAGTTTGGTATTTAGTTAAAGTGGCTTGTATTCCATGTACTACCTCTGATATTTGTGTGGTACCTTGTGCTTAATAATAGTTGTTGAATTGAATAAACTTACCTTAAATTTTGAAATGTTATTTTTCTGTATAATTGCAGATTTTTCTAATACACAGATCCCAAGAATAATCATATCTTAAAATTGAACCAAGTAGAAACCATGAAGAAACATTTTAAATATTTCTATTAAAATTAAAATCATGGCCTCATCAGCAAATCTGGATGTGGGAGCCCAACTGATTGTGGAAGAATGCAGCAACAGCTATAGTCTATCCGACATGAAAGACATTAAAGTGGAGCACCCATTGGACCAAAATCCTGAAGAAGGCCCAGCTCAGAGTGGAGCAATGGGGATGAAATTCATTTTACCAAATAGATTTGATATGAACGTGTGCTCTAGATTTGTAAAGTCCTTAAATGAAGAGGATAGTAAAAATATTCAGGATCAAGTTAACTCCGACCTCGAGGTGGCATCTGTCCTATTTAAAGGTTGAAATTTATGGTATAAGTTGTTGCATTTGTTTTGTCTTTCCATTCCCATTATGAAATTTGTTTTACACACACACACATATATATGTATGTATATATGTATACATATTTGTGTGTTTAAGTGTGTATGTATATGTGTAAATGTATGCAGAAACACACGTGCACATATATGTTACATGCACGTGCGTGTACATATATGTGTGTGTTTAATGAGAAGAGGGTCCTGAGTCATCTTTTAATATCACTTTCTTTCCTAGAATATTCTGAAGCCAATATTAAATTCTTTAAGTCAGATATAATGTAAAAGGTATATATTTTTATGTAATATATTATGTAATATTTATATAATTATGTTATATTTATATATTATTAATATATCATATATCTATATTTAATGCTGCTTGTCAAGACCTTAAATATTCTTTGCCAGATCTCCCTTTTAGTTACTTCCCTAATGTTCCAAAATAGTAAATGAAAATAAAATCCTCTTACTGTTTGCAGTGAATCACTCAAATACACCCTAGTCTGCAAATATTTAACTTGTATTAACTTAAGAATGCTGTGTAACTTGCTTGAATAATACAAATCTGCTTTTTCACTTATCATTTGATGTTTCTTAAAAATAAGAAAATTAGGAAACTAGTCTTGCTAGTTATGAGCAAGATCATTTAGAGCTTCTGTGAACACACACACATCTACCCAGTCATTTTCCATTGAATTAAAGATTATGTGCAACCAAATTGATATGTAGGTACTTATAATTTAAGTACTTCATTCTCAAGAAAGAAATTGCCACTCCAATCACATACATGTTATAGAATTTTGTTGGGGCAGCCAGTTGGTGCAGTAGATAGACACTGGCCTTGAAGTCAGGAGGACCTGAGTTCAAATCCAACCTTAGACACATAACACTTAACTAGCTGTGTGACTCTGGGCAAGTCACTTAACCCCAATTACCTCACATATAATAAGTGATAACAAAAAAAAATTGTTTTACCTATTGCTAAGGAATGGATAGTTCCTCTGATACAGTGGATTAGATAATAACATTTAGGATATAGTAGAATCATCTCTATGGATCTGGCAAGGGTTTTTCATTCTTAGACAAAATAATTGCTAAAATTAAAATAGAATTTTGACTTGTCTTCCAACTTCATGTTGAGAGATGTTTGAAAATAACTCGTAGACATGTTGGGTAGTGGATAGAAGGCTAGCCTCAGAGTCAGGAATACATCTGAATTCAGATACCACCTCTGATATAGTGACCCTGAGGAAGTAGCCCAACTTCTTAGTGCTCCAGGCAGCTATCTAAGACTTAAAACTTAATAAGTGTTTTTAATTCATATGTCACTCTTTTTGAATGATTTGTTCTCTCCCCCACCCTCCAACTCCTCCAAAAAAAGACTCTGTTAAAAAACAAGTTACTGGTAGGAAAATGAAAAGTTTTGAATATATGCATATGTTCATATATTTATTTGTGTGTATTCTTATATACACAAATAAATATTGTTTATGGTGATATATTGACTAATAAAAAGCAGTTTCATAAATTTAACCTTGAAGTAATATCAAAATGTTTTTAGGTACCCTGTTACATTTAATATTTGTTTGGTCATTTAATTTAAAATAGTCACGATCCATCTTTGAGACCAAGGATATTTCTTTTTTTCTTCTGTTAGGGAAAAATTGACATCAAAACAATAGTCATTTTTTTTTAACCTTTGGGGTTATTGACTGGGATTCAAATGATGCTATTTAAGTACATATCAGCTTTTTAAAGTCAGTAATTTTATATGTACATGTATATCCATATATATGTATGTATACATGTATATATTTTATTTATATATGCACATGTAATTTTATTTCTATATGTATATACACACGTGTGTGTGTGCACGCGTGCACGCATGTGTCTATATCTGTGTAAGCAGTCCTTTTTGGGAGTAAGGGCTGTTTGGAACCTATGATTTTGTCACTTTGAAAAACTCTTAGGATGAAAATTCCTTTTAGCAATGCAGATGAACAATTTACAGTTTTATAAAATTACTTGGGGCACTGAGAAGTAACTTGGTCACATAGCAAGTATGTGTCAGAGATAGGACTTAAGCCCAACTTTTCCTGACTCCAGGAAAACTATCCATTTCACCTTTTACTGTTGTCTTATCTAATAGTTACAATTTGTGACCAATTAGAGAAAAAATGAGGCTGAATTCCTATGCACTTAAATAAGTCTCTTCCTATGAAGTTTTCATTGTGATGGGTTGACGAAATAAATACACACTTTGACAATAAATAATTTGTATATAAAACAGAAAGTTGAAGGTTTTTTTAATCCATTTAAGTAATAAGGCTACTAGTATCAGTTGAATGTCCACTGTTATAAGCTCACGACTGTTGAAAGACTTTTTTTCATCTGTTTTAACCTGTTTGATTTAGCTGAATGCAATATCCATACATCCCCTTCTCCTGGGATTCAAGTAAGGCATGTCTACACTCCTTCAACAACTAAACATTTTTCACCCATAAAACAGTCAACTACTTTAACAAACAAACACAGAGGAAATGAGGTATCGACAACACCTCTGCTGGTGAATTGTAAGTATTTCTCAATGGTATATTTACCTTTACTAGTAAAGTAATTTCACAAATTTAACTTTGAAGTAATATCAAATATATTTGATTGTGGAGGTGACAGGGATTGGAGTTTATTGGGGGGGGGGGGTGTATAATCAGATCTGTTTTTTAGGAAGATCACTTTGGCAGCTGGGGAGGATGGACTTTGCTGGGGAGAGACAGGCAGCAAGGAGACCAGTCAGCAAACTGTTGTGATAGTCCAGGTGGGAGGCCTTGGTTCAGAATCTGAACTCAGATGATGACAGAGTCAGGAGAGAAGGGGGCATATGTGAGAGGTAATACAAAGTTTAAATCAGTATGGGAAACGAGAGCTAATGAGGAATTGAGGATGACATCTAGGATGTGAGCCTTGGTGACTAGATGGTGGTACCCTCAACAGTTAGACAGGATTTTGGAAGGTAGGGAGTCTTTGAGGAGAAAGATAATGAGTTTACGACATGTTAAGTTTAAGATGTCTACAGGACGTCTAGTTCAAGATATCTAACAGGCAGTTGGAGATGCAAACTAGAGGTCAGCAGAGCAGTAAAGGCTGGAAAAATAGATTTCAGAATCGGCAGCATAGAGATGATAATGAATCCATGGGAGCTGATGAATTCACTAAATGAAATAGTATAGAGGGAAAAGAAAAGAGGGCCTAGGACAGACCCCCTTGGGACACCCACGGTTAATGGACCTGGCCTGGATGAAGATACGACAAGGAAATCTGAAAAGGAGTATCATGAAAACCTAGAGAGGAGAGAGTATCAGGTATAATGTGTTTAGAATACCCGGTAATGCATTTCTTGAAAAACACAGACCAGTTAACAAAAGGTGACTATGTTGTTGTAGTTCCATTATTATTGTGACCTTGATTACGAAATTGAACTCATCAATTTCAAATGATAAACTTCCAGATTCACCTGATCAAGAGATAAAGTAATATAAGATTACCCCAGGGGAAATAAAGTGACAGAACCTTGAAATAAAGAGATATTAAAGTTTATATCGTATTTGATACAATAACCACAAAGCAGCCACTTTGTTACAGTGGAAGACCTTTAAATTGTGTCTTAAGTCACCTTTGAGTGTGTATTTCAATAATGCCACTTAGCTAATGTCAAAGTAATGTTACATTACAGATTAAAGACTATCTCTGTAGTATAAGCAGTCTAGTAGATGGTTTTATAGGTTGGGAAAATAAAAATTGCACAAAATAAGCAAATGAGAACTAAAGAACAATATATTTGTCATGTACCTGTGACACATTTCATACTCTTGTTTCAGCCTTATCTGTTCACCAGTTGGCTGCTCAGGGAGAAATGCTCTATTTGGCCACTCGTATTGAACAAGGTGAGATAACTGAGTAGTCTGTTTAATCATGTTATTCATGTAGAAGGAATAATTAATATTTACAGCTCTGTATATTAGATTCCTTCAGATAGGATTGGCTTTACATGGTAAACTTCATTGACCTTATTAAAAACGCTAGATCTCAATCCATGACATAGATTTAGAGAAAAGACATTATGGACTTTAACTGTACTATTATTACATTCTATGTTGCTAGGCCACGAAAATGAAGGTGAAAATCAGTAGAGTTCTGCACAGCTAACAGATTAGGGGGTAAGCAGATTGGAGGGTGGGGTGGTGAATGGAGGGAGTGGCTTCAAGGTGGGTTTCCAATATACTGTTCAAAATTATTCACTATGCATTTGTATTGTGCTATCTTAATAAATCTCAAGAATGGGAAAAGTTAAAAAAGTTCTTTAACATGGAAGCTGTAACAAAATGACTTCCCTCCTAAGATAGATTATGAAATGCTAGACATAAAATAAGACTATATAGTATTTAGTTTTTTTTTTAGTATTTTACTTAAAGATGTAGCATATGAACAAAGTCAACTGTACATTGGACATATTTTAATAAATTCAAGTAGTTTTCAAGATGATTTTGTGGATCAAATTTGAGCTCAAAATAGAAATCTTCACAGTTACATACATTACCCTTTTAGAATGGCAACATTTTTGTAATAATGCCATATTACTTCAATGGTGCAGATGATAACCCATCTACATACTTTCTTATCCTCTGTGATTGTTTGTTGTCCATGTCCTCCAATAAATAATGATAACTGACATTTATATGGTACCTTAAAGGCTTACTAAGCACTTTATTATTATATTTAATAAATCCTTCATAGAATATCTACACAAATCCAGACCTTTCTCCATATCTTAACATTGCATGAGTACCAAGGCCACACTCAGACTGTCGGTTACTCCTTGATCTTTGTTGTATGACAAGCTCACCACCTTTTCTTATGTTTTCTGAATGATACCTCTTATGTCACTTCTTGATTCAACCTATGAAACAAAGAGTAACAAATATAGCATAATTGTTTTGTTAGACACTGAAATTATTTTTCTTTTGAACAGAAAATGTAATCAACCATACAGATGAAGAAGGATTTACTCCTCTAATGTGGGCCGCTGCTCATGGACAAATAGCAGTGGTAGAGTTTCTGCTTCAGAATGTAAGAACATTTTTCACAAACTTTATTTTGTATTAGTAACTTTCAGATTCAATCATTAGTAATTGTTAAGTGTTCACTATGTATCTCAAACTGTGCTGAGTCCGTAGGGTATGGAGGAAAAAATGTAAGACATCATCCCTGACCTCAGGGACCTTACAGTCTAGTCAAGGGAACCACACCAGTACATATGAAAATAAAGAATCGTAGTATCCCAGTGATCCAGCCACCTCTATGAATAGCAGTCCCCTCTACAACAACACTGGCAAGTGTTCATCCTGCCTCTCCTTGAAGCTCTCCAGTAATGGAGAACTCACCAGCTCTTAAGGCAACCTATTCTACTTTTGCTGTAGTTTTAGGAAGTTTTTCTTGCCTCTACATATAGCAGAGTTGAAAGAAGGGAGAGTTTTGTGTGAGCTGGAAAAGGTTTCTTGGTAAAGGTGGTATGAGCAGAAGCTTGAAAATTTAGGTGGGCAAATGGAAGGAGAAAGGAATATTACAGACAGAGGGAAAAAATGTAAATTTATAAGATTGTCTTATGAATGCAAAAAGCACGTATACTATAGGTAGCTTCATTAAAGAAAATGTTATTATGTCATCCTTTTTATTATTACTGATAGTAAGTGATGATGACAATAACAATCAAGACTTTAAGTTTTGATGGAACTGAAAGAGTCATTTTATCAATTTTTTCTTCTAGGGTGCAGATCCACAGATTTTGGGGAAAGGACGAGAAAGCGCCTTGTCATTGGCCTGTAGTAAAGGATACACAGACATTGTCAAAATGCTGCTAGATTGTGGAGTAGATGTTAATGAATATGATTGGGTAAGTTGGGTAAGACAAGTTGTTACCTCTGACTTTCAGGTTGTGGGCATGTTATATGACTTGTATTTCACTCTCCTTTTCCTTAGAAGTCTTAAGGAATTATTTAAGTGATATTTATATATTTATTAATGATAACAGTAATTGGAACATAAGACTTTATAAGTTATAGACTTACTCTTTAATCTGAGAACCATTGCCTTTGTCAAACATTGAAATTTGTCTTTTCATATTTTATTTAAATTTTGGAGGGTGGTTGAAAATAATTTAAATTATTTTTAATTGCTTTTAGGTTCCTAATTCTTATTGACGCTTCTCAAATCAACAGTTTTTGAAAGATATTGCTAGAATAATATCAAATGGCTCTAGATTGACTTTTTTTCTTTCCTTGCTTTTTTTTCCAGAATGGAGGAACACCTTTACTTTATGCTGTGCATGGAAATCATGTGAAATGTGTAAAAATTCTACTAGGTGAGCCAAATAAAAATCAGAACTAGTGAGAAATTACCGTGTGTGACATTAACTTTATTTTTTTTTTCATTTTTCACAAATTATTTTTTAGAAAATGGAGCAGACCCAACTGTTGAAACAGATTCTGGATATAATTCTATGGATTTATCTGTTGCTTTGGGCTATAGAGGTGGTAAGTACTTTAGAATTCCATCCTATTTAGCTAAACCTTGTAAGTTTTTCAATGAAAATCATCCCACCAGTATTTATCCTACCTAAATTCTAGAAGATTTTTGTCATAAAACACCCAACTTCTGGCATAAACTCTGACTTGAATAAGTATGATTTACTATTAATATGACTTTATAGAAATATTAGAAAAGATATGAGCAAAGAGAAAGCAAATCTCTACACAATCTAGAAACCATTTTCAGTTCATGTTACTCTTTTCCAGCTTAAGTTTCCTAGCAGATAAGAGTATGTAAGTGCCTGCTTATTTACAAGGTGCTTTTAGCATTTCATTCACAAATTGTATTTACAAAATGTTTCATAATTGTTTTCATCGTTCCTTATAATACTTTTGTAAGTCAGAATGGATATCTCAGTTTTGCAAAAGAAATTCATTATTGGTCTGAATATAGGTTGTACTTTTCTTGAAAATCTAACCTATATGAAACCTGAATGTCACCTATAATACCTTATATAAATATACACTGAAAAATTCTTTTTCCTTTAAAAGGAGTTCTCATTTTACAGGTATGGCCTGCAGTCCAGTATTGTGGTAACAAACACAAAAGTTCACTAGACTTACTGTGTCACATAGTCAATGTCAGACTTGGGTTTCAAATGCCTAGTTTCCTTATCTACCAAGCTGTGTACTTCAGTCAGTGCATGGCTGCTTGGAAACCAGTGTTTTCAGGGATGAGGTCATGTTTCTTAAATGTGATATAACTTGTTTACAGTTGTAGTGATCCTGATTGTTTCTTTATTTTAGTTCAACAGGTTATTGAGGCACATTTGTTGAGGCTTCTACAAAATATCAAGGAATAGACTTGTCAACAGGAAATGTTCTGTAAAAACCATTTGCTTTTTTTCTTTGGCCCAATAAGTGACAGACTTGTTTACTTTTTTAAACTTTACCTCAGTCACAATATTTACTGATTTTTAAATTTTAACAAATTTCCCTCTAAGTAATTCACTGGCTTATAGTAGGCTTGCTGTGGATGTTTTCTTTATAAATGTATTTTACTATGTATTTAAAAATGTAAATTAATGTTCTATCGCATGTAAAGGTTTATAGTCAGCATAGTTACATAAGTCTTCATATCAAGTGCAGTAGTTTTATGTTTCCAGAATTTGTTCAAACCAATCCTCTCTTCTCTCTTGCATTTACCTATTGACTTTATATATGAAATTTAGGTGAATTTCCATAGAAAACCAATTTTGTTGTTAAAGTTTTTTAAAAGTGCACAAAGTGTGATTGTTTACAGAATGCTGTTCACTTATAAATGGCTTATCCGCTTGCATAGCTGTCCTTAAAAATTCAAGATATATTTTGAAATTTCTTTGGGGTTTCAGTTTAAATTGTTCTATTAGTGATTTTAAGTATTTATAAACATTCTTGTTTTAGATGAACCTGAATATAATTAAGGTAAATTTAATATATACTCTAATATTCAAATAGGTCTTGGATCTTATCAATCTGGATGTTTACTCCAGTAGTGCAATTGCAATCTCTCTATGTCTGCTTTGTAACTCTTGTTTATGTCCTCCCATAAGTTCATTTCAGGGGTTTCACCCAATGTGCTGAAGTCGTTCCTCATTTTTTCCTGACATCATGAGCGTGTCAGTGGAGCCCTCAGGCTCTCTACCTGTCATCCTTTGCCCTTGCCATGTGACTAGCTCATCTTCTCTTCTGTCATATGTTTTTCCAGTGACAGCTGTCATTCCTGTTCATCATAGTTCCTCACTGCTTATGTGTGGCAGGCAGCCTACTCACTCCCACTGTGTGCCTCTCCATTGCTCTGTGTGTGATATCATTTCTGCTTCTATAGAGACTTGTGTTTCATTTCTCACAGCCTTAAGATAGCGCTGTTAACATATTGATCTTAAAAACATGAACCTTTGTTTCTGGAGAAAATTTGAGAGCTTTCCAATCTCCTGAAGGCAGTGCATTCTGCTCTCTTCCTTCTACTTAATTCTGGGTCTGGCTTCTCCTTTGTACTCTCTGTCTCATATGGACATACAGTCAGACAAATTCTATATAATGCACAGAGTATGACATGAAGTTGGATGAACAATAGATATTCTCCTGTCCATTCTTGAATGGTTAAGAATCTCTTCAAGGAAGCTCTGCTGTGTTCCAGAACTTGATGCAACCAGCATAATGCCATCCGTGGCAGGAGCATCCAGAACACCTCACTGCACACAGGGAACCGCTCTTCAACCCAGTCTCTGAATTGGACCTTCCTTCTTACCGCCAGCGGTGGACATCTTTGGCAAGCACATGGCTCCCTGTTTTATGTCTCACACAATGTTTGTGATCTTTGAGTTATAGTTACTAAATAATGTTATTTCTCATTACTCTTTCCAAAGAATCTTGAATGGTTGTGATGGCTAGATCAAAGGTACCTTGTTGGAAGAGATTTTAAAATGGAATTTTGTTCTCACAAATCAAATGCTTTTTTTCATAATCAATAGTAAGCACAGTGGGGTTATGTATCCTCTACATCTTTCAATCAATTATAAAATGGTAAAAGTGTGGTCCGCAGTAGATATGTCTGGCAAAAGCATGCCTGTTCTCTGTAAATACTCTAATTGAGTATGCCCTCAGTGTGTGTATAGATCAGTCTCATAAAGATTTTACATAATAGAGAACATAGGTAGTGTATGGTGTTGGGCCTGGAGCCAGGAAGATCCAAGTTCAGATCTGACCTGTGTGGCCTCAGTTTCCTCATCTGTAAAGTTGGGGACAGTAACAGCACCTACCTCACAGGGTTGTTGTGGGGATCAAATGAGATAACATGTAAAGTGGTTCAAAAACTTCTAGCTCTATGTAAATATTACCTGTTAGTAATTATTGATGTTCTCCAAATTTCCCTTTTTTTTTTTTCTGTATTAGTAAGGTCTGAGATTTTTTTTCACATGCTTTTGGTATGTTGCCTTCATCACTTACCTTGTGTGAATCAGTCCTTCACCAACACCCTCACAGCCATGTCACTCCTTACTCGGTGTCCTCTTGGTCCAATCCACTTGTTGTCTTCAGTGCCATCGCTGAAATAAGCACATCTGGGACTGTAATGTTAGGGACCAAATGTAGTGGTTCCCCTTCTCACAGGTCAGGACAGAAAAAAAGCAATCTTCCCTTTTTTTTCTATTTGTTTATTGTATGTCCATTTTCATTCTTAAATATCCCTGGGAATCTTTGCTTAGGTTGATCTCCTACAGAGAAGTTGGCTTGTGCAGTTTTTTAAAAGTGCACAGATGGCAATTGTTTACAGAACGATACTCAATTATAACTTTAAACTGGTTTCACCCTCTGTTGTTTCTCCCTGCTTTTTGAGGTGATAGTGCTCATTGTCATCCATCGTAAGAGTTTTCAAAGGACTTTATAGTCTTAACCTAGTTTTGCCTGTCACCACCATTACTCTTGTCACTTAGCAAGTAAATGTCTACAGACTAAGGTGCTTTGTTAGGTTTTTTGGTCTCCTTGATATGACATTTGATTTACATCAAACTGTAAAATTGTTACGATCAACATTGATGTCATTTCTGCTTTCTACTACTCATTTTTCATTATCAATTACTTGTTTAGATGATTCAAGATTAAGTTGTTTCAATTGAATTCCATATCATTTTCTCATTATTCGCTCTAGGTTTTTCCTAATTTGTACTTTGCTCTAACAAGTCAGTGGTTTAACTGTACACAGACGGCCAAATACCTTCTCATCAATAGCAAGTTTAAAATGGAATTAATTTTATTTTTTGTGATGGTATTCAGTGTTCACAATGCCCAGTGCTTACCAGTTGTCTTTTTGAAAAAGTCTTCACAATGTAAAAGTGTGCAGCTTCTGTGTAGTCTGAAAGTGTTAGGTCTCTCTCTTAGCTTTCCTTCCTACCTATGTTTTCCAATTTATTTTGGACCATCTTTACCTATTCCTTCTTTGCTTTAAAGTCACTGAACATGGCAAAAGCAACATCTGTTAAGGCCCTGCCACATAGGCTAGCTCCTAAAAACAAGTCATGTAGCCTGGCCTGACTTTTCACTAAAAGGCAGGGAAGCTGTCCCTGAGACTTGATTGTACTAGCAAGGCTTGAGCCATTGGCAGAACTTCCCACTTGATTAAAGCATAAAAAGGCCAGCCCACAAGGAGCCAATGCCCTTCAGACTTGTTGGATATTCCGCTGTCATGAGAGTCAACATACCTTTTGACTAGGTTTTTCATATGGAAAAGAAGTAGTCTACATCTGCCTAAACCAGCACTGTATCCTTGCTGAATATTCTCATCACGCTGGCTAAGTAAACCTTTTGTATGCTGTCAGCAGCTTTATGAGTATCTCGTTTCATCTAGTCCCAAGCCTGAACCACTAGAATTGCCATTTAGGCCTGGTCCACAACATAGGTATTAAATTTTTGTGTTGATTTAATTTGGAAGGTTTTACCAAATTTTTTGTAGACTTCCTCTATTTCTTCGTCTTCTGCATTCAATGTTAGTATGTAAGCTACAGTTATTTTCTTGGTGCTCTTTTTGCCAATTCTCATCACAAACACTGCAATACTAGACAACCAAGTGTCCAGTGAAGTAATGTTTCTTCTTGTCCTTGGGTATACAAGTAAACCAACTATGACAGCTCCTTTCTTGGTTTTTACTGAGTCTTCCTTTTCTTTAGTTGCAGCTTCCTTCTTTTGGTTTCTTTTATAGTAAGAATGTCAACATTAAAATAAGTCAGCTCCTTCATCAATAAGTCCACTGCATCAGTCACTGGTCAGAGACCCTACCAGCAATTAAAGTATAAAGACCATCTACAAAAACTGATTCTTAGCACTTTGTGCCTCTTTTGCCATTAACATTTCAGAAGTGGAAGAAGATTGCATAGCATTGGGGACTATTTTCTAATTAGTTTTCCAAGGTCAAAGGACTTATCCCAATATGGCCATCCTACTACTGCAGAGGTTTCTTGCCCACATGTAGCTAGGTTGGTCCTCAGAAAGCTGTTCCAGTCTGTAGCTAATACCACACTCGAAGCCTTTGTATTGTGATAGAAGCATCCAGAGCTCATGCTTAACTGGAATGCTTCCAAGGAGGCACTGAAGTAGAACTCTGGAGAATATAAATCAGTAAAGCTGGTCAACATAGGGATCTAGCAGTGTTCTCCAACTCATTATGCTATGGTGATGATCCTGGGACAGAATTCTTAACTAAGAAGAAAAGTGTGAGATGGATTAATGCTCTAAGAATAGCAGGATGCCACACAATCGTCTCAAAGAAGCAAGTGCAAATCTGATCATCCAAATCTAGTGAAGAGAGCAATAGACTAGAGATCGACTTGACAGCTGGGTCCATGACCTAGACCATTAGTCTGTGCCTTGTAATTCTTCATGTGTGAAACAGCTCATCAGAGTTACCTCTCCCTATATTCAAGTTATTATGAAGATACCCTTCTCAAAAATGAAGTGGCATATACTTTAATTCTTTAAATATCTGGGATTTCATCCATGTAGATATAGGTTAACTTTTCCTATTCATATTACAACCCCTTGATTTACATAGATGGTTTTGCAAATTGCTATCACCAAACAAGTTAAATCATTTAGTGCCCAACCTGGTAATGAGCTCCTTAAGGTGTACTTGGGGACATGAAAATCTGAGTTCCAGTTCTGTCTTACACACTGTGACCCTGGGCGGGTCATTTAACCTCAAGCCTCAGTTTCTTTCATCTGGAAAATGGGAATGATGATGATAGCATCTACCTCACAGGGTTGTTGTAGGGGTCAAGTGAGGTAACATGTAAAGTGCTTTGTAAACCTTAAAAGTGCTGTGCACATACTAGCTATTCATATATAATCAAAGCCTTTTCAATGCAGTAGAATCTGCTAGAGCTTAACTTAGCAGACTGAGCCTTCAAACACTCAGGGTTACCACCCCAGCCCCATGAGGCAGCAGAATAGGACTTCAGTGAAAGGAGATAATTTCTAGGGAAACTCTTCAGAAGTGAAAACGATAATATCTTTCGTTCATCTTTAGAGATTCTGCTGCTGACCCACTGTCAAGATAGAATGTTTTGAGTTCAGTGGTAGAATGGTGGGCTTATGCAAAATGACCCATAATTCTTCGGTGATTATCTGTATTAATGGTGAGTATCTGGCAAAGCTGTGACATTGACCTTATTACTACCACAGTCTTATCATGAAGTTAAACATCTATGGGGAAAACTGCTATACAAATTTAGGATATTGAAAATAACTGAAATATATGGAGTGCTTTAGGAGTAGCTAGATGGCACAGTGGATAGCCTGTTGGGCCTGAAATCAGGAAGACTCATCTTCATGAGTTCAAATTTGGCCTCAGACACTTACTGGCTGTGGGACCCTGGGCAAGTCATTTAACCCTGTTTGCCTCAGTTTCCTCATCTGTAAAATGAGCTGGAGAAGGAAATGGCAAATCACTCCAGTATCTTTGCCAAGAAAACCCCAGATGGAGTCACAAAAAGTCTGAAAGGACAGAAAACAGACACACACACACACAGTGCTATAAGTTTTCTAACGTGTTTAACACAATTATCCCATTGTCACAACCCTCTGAGGTGTTATCACAATTTTACAGATGAGGATTCTGCATGCTGAGTGGTTGTGATGATTTTGGTCACACATTAGAATAGAGGAAGAACTCTAACCCATATCTTCATAACTCAGTGCCCAGGATGCTATCCATAATGCTATGCTGTCAAGAGGCAATAGATGGCACAGTGGATAAAGCGCTGGGCCTGGAGTCAGGTAGACTTCAGTTCAAATCTGGCCTCTGACACTTAACTGTGTGACCCTGGGCAAGTGACTTAACCATGTTTGCCTCAGTTTTCTCAAATGTAAAATGGAATAACAGCAAGCACCTACCTCCCAGCATTGTTCTGAGCATTAAATGAGGTACTTGTAAAAAGTGCTTGGCATATGCATAGTAGACACTCTGCTGTGTGCTGAGTCTTTTCTGCAACTCACCACCACATCCCCAGAAGTAGTCAGGAAGTTTGTAAACTCCGAAGTTCCCAAGCAATGAGTTGATATCTCCTTAGAGTCACAGCATTTTCAGGTGAGTTCTGAGTACATGCTGCCAAGGCCGAGCAGCCTTACATGTTAGTCAGTTATCAGTCCTGCTGAAGTCATCAGTCAGGGATTTTGCAGGAATTTTGGAATGAAGGTAGGTCTAGGTAGGATGAGGGATACTATACTGTCAGAGGACAGTATAAGGGCATTTGGAGTTTGGGGAATAAGGAACAGAAAGCAGGAGGTGTTAGAGAAAGTTTTATAAAGAGAAATGGAAGAACAAAGATAACACTGTCTTGTGGTGGCATGGTTACTTGTTTAAAGTCATCTATAAAATCCCTTCAAAAACAATGTTCTGATACCTCCCAGGTGATCTGGTTCTCGTAAGTCTTTAAGCCAAAGGATGACTTTTTCTCTAATTTTGATCAGGCTGAAGTTTAGTGTCTGAAATTTTGTGTTGTCTCCTACTTTAGCTTAGATCCCTTTATCAGTTAGGCAAGATTCCCCAAAAGTCAATTCATTGGTGCACTAAATGGAAAAAGACTATACTGACAGGTTATTTTATTTATTTTTTGGCTTAAAATTCACCTTCAATTCATCTCATGCTGTAGGTGTATTGTTGGATCAGACAGTTAAAGTTTCACAGTTAATATGTGTAAGAGAGCAGCAATTAGGGTGCCTACAGGGAAGCAGGACAAATGTTATGTCACCATCACTCCAGTCTTGCTAAATTAAGCTCCTGGGTTGATTTGCATGGACCTAAATTAGCAACCAGAGGCGTGTTTAGAATTAAAAGGAATGTACTCAGCCAAAGTCAAATAATAGACTGAGTTCAAGGAGCAGCAGTTTAAGCACAAGCATAAATACTGAAGAGACCAACCTAAGTAGGGCTTCTATGAGCTGACTGGATGCAGCTGTTTGTGTGATTCACAAAAGAGCTGAAATAGCTCCTGGGGCTTTATGTGAAAAGAGCAGCTGTCCCTTTTGAGAAGAGGATGCAAAGCAGCTGTAGATCAGAAAAAGACCAGAAGATGGCCCCAGTGAACATCAAAAGAAGCTGTCAGTGAAGAAGCTAAGACCAGCAGACAGCAGCTCCCTGGAGGGAATTGTAGATAAGGCCTATCAAATGTCAGTAGAACAGGGAAAGTAGCCCAGTAGAAGATACCAGAAACTTACAGTGGAGAAAGAAACAAGCAGCAATATCATTGGAAAACAGTGGTTCTAGCTGAGACACAGATCCAAGAATGGATTTCCCGGACTACCCTTATGTACTTTCCCACAATGGTGTATGAATTCATGAGAGTGTACCTCGGCATGTATGGTAAAGAGGAGTTGGTTTTCTGGAAAAAAGCACCTGCTCTGGACACAGAAGAACTGCGTTAAAATTCCATTTCTGACAAGTACTACCCGTGTGACATGGTCTTAGTTATTTAACCTCTATTTCCTCATCTATTAAATAAAAATGGAGGAGTTGGATTAGATGTCTTCTGAAATCTCTTCGTTTTTAGATCTGGGAATGATCCTACATTCCTTGTAATTTATCTTGGTTTGCTCTTTAATTAAATGCCTTTGCTTTGAACTAATGTGCTCGTTCTAATCTGTGAATTAGTGCTACTTCTATGAATCCAAAGAGTTTTGTCTTAAATTAAAAGGGACTCTCCTGCCTGCTTTAATTCCTGTATTTGGCATCAACTGGCTCTATAAATGAGTGATTTGAAAAGAGAGAGATCATACCTAAGACTTGTATATCCAATTGAAATTTATTGAAAGATAGTCTTTGCAGGGGCAGCTAGGTGGCGCAGTGGATAGAGCACTGGCCTTGAAGTTAGGAGGACCTGAGTTCAAATCCGGCCTCCAACCAAACACTTGACACTTACTAGCTGTGTGACCCTGGGCAAGTCACTTAACCCCAATTGCCTAAAAAAAAAAAAAAAAAGAAAGCCTTTGCAGCTGACCAAGGCCTCAGGAGAGCTGGAGACAGAAAGTTCTGCTAGTTCTTGGATCTATGCCCCCAAATGACCTTCTGTAAACCATCTGAGTGACCTGGAGTGACCATGGATCAGTACATGGGGATAAAGGGAAGCAGCTGATTATCTAAAATGTCATGATTATCATCATCATCATCATCATCATAGTTACTATTAATAGCTAGCATTTATATAGTGCTTTAAGGCTTACAAATTATATCTCATTTTATTCTCACAATGACTCTGAGAACCTCTGACACATGTTAAAGAAAGATGTTCTCTCAGTTTTCTTTACTTGTCAGGTGTTCTAGGACTATGCCTTGTACAAAGATGTTATCAGTTTCCTCTGCTTCCAGATCTATACTTTGGGATCTTTAAATACTGTAATGGTTTGGAAGATAAAGGAGAGGAAAAAAGAAGGTAGGAGAGGGTCTGATTCACCCCACTGCTACTTGGCAGATTCACTGGGCCTATTCTTCTAGAGATAGGGGACTGCTCTCACACAGAGAGCAGTTTAACCTTGGTTAAACTCTCAGAAATCTTCCTAGAGCCCAGAGATTCATCTCTTACTTGGCTGGCCATTAGCTAGTAACAGGCCTTATACCAAATAAAAAACAAAAGTACCATTA